ACCGTATTCAGTTTTACTTTATTTATTTATTTATATTTTTTTTTAAATTTATTACACTTTGAGGTTGTTTAAATTATGCAATAGAAAATTATATCCGCAAAATATTAAAACCTGACATTTTTTTTCCCCTCCTTTTTTCCTTTTTTCCTTTTTTTTAAAATTAAATTAATTTGTATTTATGAAAAACAAAACCAAAAAAAAAATTCTTTTTAAATATCAAACACGCTAAAGTCTCGACAACAACAACAACAACAACAACAACAACAACAACAATAATAATAATAATAATAATAATTATTATTATCATAACGAATTTTTATGCTACCAAAAAAATTTTCGGGATAAAACAACGTTTATAATAATGCCTACCAAATCTTATTTATTTATTTTTTTCCCATCGAAAACGATTAGTTATGTACATAATAATAATTATTAAACGTATTAATCGTTCAAAAAAATAAATAAATAAGTGCGAAAATTGTTCGCCATAATGAAAATTTCACCGGTTCAAATGAAAATTTTTTAATTACACTCATCATCTATCTATATATGTACCTAGTAATCGTTTGCATTCTATTAAAAATGCGGAGAAAAAAAAAGGAAAATTTATAAACGTTCGCATGTAACAAACAAGAAGCCAAAGTTTTCCATAAAATTGGAAAATTTAATTGATTCGAAAAGATGGAAGAGGGAATAATAAAAAGGAATTTTATATATATATATATATATACAGATCTACACACATATATATGTGTGTGTGTGTCTGTTTGTGCATGGATAATTTCACAACAAATGAAACACCGTTAAATGATAATAATAAAAGAAAATAAAAAAAAGAAGAAGATATTACATTATAATCACGTCAAATCGAAACCGAGATTTTCAAATTTCTATTCCCCTAAGCACCGGCGTCGGGAAAAACGACGCCGCCCTCCTTGGCAATGGAGTGGACGCCTCATAAAAACCTCCGATGAAAATTTTTGTCGAAATAAAAAAAAAAAAAAAAGAAGAAGGAAAAAAAAAAATAAAACCACTTGTATTGCGATTTCCGTACAAGAACCTAGCAAAACACACACACAGGATTTCCACTCGTCGACGACGAATTTCCTTATTATCATCATCATCACTATTATTATTATTATTTTAATATTATAAATAAATAATAATAATAATTTTCCAATTGACGACGACGACAATTCGATTCGAAAGTGTGTTTTTACGTTCGTTCGTTCGTTCGTTCGTTCGTTTGTCCGTTCGTACGTTCGTTTACGTTTGTTCGTTTGTTTGGTTTTTTTTGTCGATCGCGAATCGCGGTTCGATCGAGATCGCGACGTTAAATAATAATAAAAAAAAAAAAATTTTTTTTTTCGAACGATAAATTAATCGAATAAAAAAATCGTAATTAAAAAAAAAAAAAAAAAAAAAAAAAAAACAGAAAAAAAAGGAAATTTTATTTATTATTATTATTATTATTTGAATAGTTAAATGGAAATGAAAACGGAAACGATAAGTGCGTGCTGTGATTATTTTGTTAGGGAGAAAATAATTTTTTAAAAAAAAGAAAAAAAAAAAAGAAAAAAAAAGAAAATAATAATAATAATAGAAAAAAAAGGAAAATTTTTTTTCATTTTCGTTTGTAAAAGGAAATTTTTTTTTTTTTCCCCGTTAATTCGAAGAATGAAAATTTAAATTTTTCAATCAGGTATGTCAAACATTCGTTTGTTTTTTATGTTTTGTATGTTGTGTGTTCCTCTTTAAAATTGTTTTTGTGTTTGTTTGTCGTTTGTTTTACGTTTGTTTGGTTTTAAATTTCCAGTAAAAAAAAAAAAAATTTCGTTTGTATTCTTTTTTTTATATTCCTTAAAAACCCATTTTTGCGTAAACCTATTTTATTGTAAACCTATTTTTATGTAACCGATCCTGATAAAAACCTGATTCCTGATAAAAATTTTTTTAACCGTTATCAAATCGGTATTGCCAAATTTTAAAACTAAAAATTTTGTTATAAACGAGTCGAAATTAAATATAAAAAAAAAAAACGGGATAACTGTCACAAAATGAAAAAATTTTTTCCCTTTAAACCTTTTTTCCCTTTTTTTTATTTGGGGGGCGGATTACCGGATTACCCAGGTAATTGTAGTTAACATTTACAATTTGTTGTTTTCCTCACTCTATTAAATCTACTACTAAAATTTTCTTTCATTTAAAAAAATACCGCGACAAACGCACAACCCCTCAAATAAATAAATTTTAAATTTTATTCAAATTCTCTAGGAATCGTGTAAATAGAAAAACAAACCTCCCCCCCCCCACGTTAATCGTGATATTATTAATTTTTTAAAAATCCGTAATAAAAATTAATTATTTAACGTCGACTCCATTTATTTACCCCATTTTTTGTTTTTAAATCTGAGTTTAAAACATTTTTTAAAAATACTAAATATTTTTTTTTTTTTTAGTTTGTTTGTTTGTTTGTTCTTACATGATAAAACAAGAAAGGGAGGGGGGGTTAAAAAAAAAAAAAAAAAAAGGGCCGTCAGCCATTTTGACATGTCTTGTCGAGTTTCAACATGCAACTGAAACTCTTTTTCCTTTTTTTTTTTTTTTTTTTTTTTTTGACTGTTTGTTTGTTATACCTGTTTAAGAGTGAGAAGAAGGTTAATGTGTGTCTCACACATAAAATGATATACATTTCGTGACTCTTATTATTTTAAACATAATAGTTTGCCACAATAAAAAAATATTATTATTATTATTATTATTATTATTATTATTATTATAGCAATTTTCCGACGGGAAATTTTGTTTTGAAAACATTTTTAAAACTCGAATTTTTTCTCGAACGTTTTTTTTCTTTCGAACCGTCGGAATTTTGTATTGAACGTAAAAATCTTTCGCGATAGTCGATTGTAGTGGTAGTAGAAGTAGTAGTAGTGGAAGTAGTAGTAGTAGAAGTAGTAGTGGTAGTACTGAGAGTAGTATTAGTAGTAGTATTAGTAGTAATGGTAGTAGCAGTAGTAGTTTGTCGGTAGAAATCAACAGCAAACGACAGCAAAAACAAGCAAAAATAATTATGAAATATGATTAAAAAAAAAAAAGGTTTCGAACGAACCATTCATCCTTTTTAAACAAAATAAATAAGCCCCCTGATAAAAAAATAAAAAAACGGGTAAGGAGAAGAAAACGATTTAACACGTTCCCCGTGACACGCAAAAGCACGCAATTCCAATTAGCGAACGAACGCGATGATTTTTTTTTATTTCGTCCCTTTCCAGGAGTTCTTTTCTCCAAAAAAACCAACACTAATTAATATTTACACGAAATCTATCTCTCCCATCACACGTGTTGATTATTATTATTATTACTATTACTTTATCCAGGTATTATTAATAATATAAATAAATAAATTATTATAAACTTACATTTTTGTTGTGTTTCCTCATCGCATATGCAGATTCCAAAAACCAACAAACAAACAAACAAACAAATCATTATTTTGTCCTTTTCGTGTTTCGTGAAACCTGGAAAAAAAAAAAAGTAAGTTTTCCATTATTTACATTTAAGTGAAAAGAAAAAAGGCTAAATTGGTGGAAAATATAAAGATTTAGTTGGTGATGGGGTAAAAAAAAATAGGGGGACCCCCGAAATATAAGGAAAAAAAAAAAAAAACTTTTTAAAATTTATTTTTTCACATTACATATATATATATATATTTTTTTTTTTCGGGTTAAAACGAAAGCCGTATCAGGTTTTATCTTCTGCTGCCAGAAAAAGGAAAAATAATGAGAAATGGTACGAAAAATGTATGGGGATGGAGAGAGAGAGAGAGAGAGAGAGAGAGAGAGAGAGAGAAAACTTGGGTTCTTTTGCGTCGTACCGTCGGCCAGATAAAGACACATGAATTATGCGAACCCTCACTAACGGGGTTAACCTCATATGTTAGAATTATTTCTCTATCCTTTCCCTAACCTTTTTCCTTCGACTCTCATTTTCCAAAAAAAAAAAAAAAAAGGAAAAGATAAAAGAAATGTGCATTCGAAAAAAAAACCCCTTTACTACAACCGTTCTTGGTGGGTTCCGCCATCTTTTTTTTTTTATATAATCAGTGATTTTATATTTTTCCTGACGGTTTGACCGTCAAAATCATCCCCGAATATTTTATTTTTTTCCTTTTTTTTCCATCATCCCTTGAATTTTTAAAAAGGGGTAAAAAAAAAAAAAAAAAAAAAAAAAATTTTCTTTTGTCCCGATTTCTTCTTCATTTTTTCTTTTTCTTTTCTTCCCTTTTTATAAAAGTGATTTTCTTTATATATGTGTGTGTGTAAAAACCTTTTCTCGAATATTCTTTTTCCTTTTTTCCTTTTTTGCTTTCCCCGTTCTTTATATAAATATATTTATTTATTTTCTTTTATACGAAATGAAGATAAATGCCTTGTCTAATATTATTTGACTGCAAAATGCGACGACGACGATGACGATGACGTTCGCTTCGTTTCATTATTATTATTATTATTTATTTATTTAAAGTAACGTTTTCATTTGCACCCCTTTTTTAGACTAGAAAAAAATGGTTTTTTTTTTCCTGACAAACTTCTTCAATTCATTTCTTTCCTTCACTGATTTTATTCTTTTTTTTTTTTTTTTTTTTTTAAAAAATAAATTTTACAACTTAAAGTTTTAAGCGCCTTACGCGAAGGAACCTTTTATTTTACTTCCGGTATAAAAAGTAATAAATTTATAATTAAGTTTTTTTATGTTTTTAGTTTTTTAACAAAAAAAAAAAAAAAAAAGAAAGAAAAGTTTTTATTATTATTATTATTATTTTTATCATCGTTATTTTTTTATTTTTTTTTTTTTTCACCTGAGTTTTAAAATTTATTATATTCTGTAGAATTATTATTATTATTATTTTCTTTCTTTCTTTTCTTTTTTTTATTACGTGATAAAAAAAAAAAAAAAAAAATTATTAACTTACTTATTTGTATTTTCAGGTATTCGTAATGTATGAAGGTTCTTGTTCTTATCAAAGCGCTCTGGATTTAAAAAGAGTCGCATCCGGTTGTTCGACAACCGTTTCCGCAATAAAAACAGAAGATTGTATGAACGTTGCCGCCGGATTGGGTACAAACGATTGGGCGGGTTGCGCTTATCGATTCGCATGTAATTCATCGACATTCGAACAACTTAAACAATCCGTTGAAAAAGCCAAAGCAGCACTTCAGGATCGTGGTAATTATTTGGCTGCATCGAGTGCATTCAGCGATTTTGCAACTTCGTCTTTCACCGCCACCACCACCACCAACAATACGAGGACCAATGAATCCTCCCTACCGGATCTCAGAAGAGAAGATGGCGATGGAAAACGTTCTCAAAGTAAGTTATTATCCCCTGAAACATATAAAAAATCAAATTTATTTTCTTTCCTCCTTTATATGAACCACCCCCCCCCAAAAAAAAAAAAAAAAAAAGATATCGATTACTTTTAATTAATAGATCGTGATTAATGGATTCTAGAATTTTCAACAGGGAGTCGATTCCAGTCGAGTGAGGTCAAGTTCTAGAATTTTCTTTTTTTTTTTCTCTCTCTCTCTCTCTCTCTCCCATAAATTTAGCTTTTTCACAGTCGATTTACAAAACGTGATATCAATTCAGATGGGGGGAAAAAGATTTTATTTTTTTACTTTTTCTTTTTTTTTTTTTTTTGCCTGTTATCGATTCATTTCGCCATCTTTTATTCCATTAATATTTAGTTACACATACATATATATATATATTTTTTTTTTTTAAATAAATAAATAAATTTGAATAGAAAAAAAATAATATTATAATAATTTTTTTTTGTAAAAAATAATGGCCACTCCTTCTTATTTTAGACAAAATGTTTGCAACTAACTATTTTAGAAAAAAATGATAAGAAATATTTTTAATAGCTGATACGGGAAAAAGGGGGATGAAAGAATCGTAGCGAAGTGTTGCCAAGGCAACGGAGACAGAAAAGGCGGTCCCGAAAATAAGACCAGAACTCTAAGAACAAATACGTGGGGAGGTAGTCTCAAAACAATTTCGAAAACGGGAAACTTTTTCCCCCCTCTCTCTCTCTCTCTCTCTCTCTCTTTCTCACATACAAAAAATTAAGGAAATATTTTTCAAAACGTGTCCCTCATTATTATTATTATTATTATTATTTTTGTCACAAACGATGTAAAATCAAAACCGTTTTTCGATTTAATTAATAATTTTTTTTTTTTTTTTCGGATTCGTGTCCCCGAAACCTCTGCCCCCCTCCCCTCCGCTAAAAAAAAAATGAAAAAAAATCTTATAAGATACATGTATGGCATCATTATTCATATCATTATTCGGAAATGGTATGAGGTGATAGAAAGGCCACGCGTAGCAAATGGTTTGGAAGAGGGTTAGACTCGGCAACAAACAAAACAATCTGGTGGCAGTCAACAAGGGATTATAACATCTAAAGACCTCTCACATGATTACAACGAATAATGATAATATTGAGATTAAGTTAAACAAATCTGGGCAACGAGAGGGTTGACACTCGTGATTTCTTAATTAACTTATTTTTTTGTATTTCGTATTTCGACGAGGGATTACATCGTTTAATAAAATTCTTAACGTATTAGAATTTATTTGTTTTGTGTTTAAAATCCCCAATGAAAACCCCCCCCCCTTAAAAAAAAACAAACTAAAACAAACAACGGACCGAAACGTTTAAACAACTCGTTTGTTAGATTTGAACATATACCTATAGACGAACGAACAAACGAAAGTTGGAAAAACTACAACAACAAACGAAAGAAAACTCTTAATGAAAACTCATTAAAGAAGAAATAAAGTCTGTGGAAAACTTATATATAAAACGATAGAGAAAAAATCATTTTCAAATTCAACCATCAAAATCAATATGTTATAAATAATAATAATAATAATGATGATAATAATAAATTGGGAGGGGCTTTATAATTGCATTAACTGATAAATAAAGAAATTTGACATGATCGAGGAATTTCCCACGACGGACGTTTGTGTCGGGAAGGGCAACCCATGAAAAAAAGGGGCCACGGATGACTGAACACTTTGATTCATGTAGCCGGTGCCACGTTTTTCGAATCATCCCTTACCACCCCCCTCCCCTCTCTTTCTCTCTCCCTTTGCATTCGATTTAAGATAACTTCAGAAAAAATTATTTTCGATTCTGTCACATAGAAATGATAATAATAATAACGCGTTTGATTTTAAAACATTCGAATATTTATAAAAAATTTTCACGGCGTTAAACGGGAGACGAGTCGGAAGGGGGGAGGGGGGGGAGGGAAAGAAATCCCGGGCAAAAACCCTGAATTAAAGGCTAACATATATGATTTCATCATGTGATTTATTGAAAATTATTTTTTTTGCTTTGGCTAAAAAAGGTTTAGTTGGCATTTTTACCTTTTTACCTTTCACATGTAAATAAAATTTATTCGCAATAATATATATATATATATATATATATATATATATATATATATATATTTTTTTTTTTTTCTGTTGAAAAACTTTCATAAATTAAAATTTTCATTTTAAAATAAAGAGAGAGAGAGAGAGAGAGAGTGAGAGAGAGAATTTATTTCAACGCATAAAATTTTTACCATGAGCAAAATATCAATTATTTAAGTATAGAAAGAAAAGTTTTTAAGCTTTATCTTTCTAAAAAAAAAAAAAAAAAGTTTTGAGCCGAAAACGGAAAAGTAACGAGAGAGTCTGTTTTCCTGTCACAAAAGTTTTCAGAGAATCTAAATTATCTCTACTCATTTTCGTCGCTCGTTCGTTCGTTCGTTCGTCGTAACCCCCTTTCCCCTCTTCTCCCCACCCGTTATATTTCAAAATAAAACGTAATTTTAAACTTACTTTTTTTTCCTTGCAGATTTGGAAACGATAATAAGCAGAGCAGCAGACAAAATTTCCAATCATGATCATTTATCTTCATTAACATCTTCAGCTAATTCACTTTTGCCTTTGACAACAGGCAAAACCTATCATCACTCATCATCAGGATCAGAAACTTTAAGATCAACTAAAACTGGTGAGTCTCTTCTCAAAAATCATTTTCTTTTAACTGTATATGTTTGCCATGTTGTCTCTCCTCAACAAAACTTCTGATCTTTTTGTCATCTCTCCTAGAATTCTCTCTAAACTAATTCTAACCTAAAACCAAACAATTATTGACAATTAGTTTAATTTTTATATTTGAAAGAGTGACAAATGCTTTCAGTATCACCATAATGGCACAAATCATCTCCTGTGCATTATTCTTTCTATGAAATAAAACAAACATGTTTATGTTTGTGCAAACAATCAGAGGGGAAGAACCAAAAACATTTACATTTCATCATTAACCAACATACTCATGCATGCATTCAATATCTAACCTCAAAACTTAATCTTATGGGATTTGATTTTGTAAAATTCTATTTAAAAGATGGTTATGGTGATGATAGTAGGAGCAATAGGAGTAGTAGTAGTAGCAGTAGCAGTAGTAGTAGTAGCAATAGCAGTAGCAGTAGTAGTAGTAGCAGTAGTAGCAATAGCAGTAGCAGTAGCAATAGCAGTAGTAGTAGTAGTAGTAACAGTAGTAGCAGTAGGAATAGCAGTAGCAGTAGTAGTAGTAGTAATAGTAGTAGCAGTAGTAGAAGAAACAGAAGAAGCAGCAGCAAAACAAACAACAATCCACATAGTGTATACAAGTTAAAACAAAAAATTTGTGGTTTCCCTCACCTTCATTTTCTATTGTTTTCTTTCTTTTTTTTTTCTTTTTTTTAAAGTTAAGGGATGAGTTATATTTATTCTCAGGGCGGATTCAATTTGAGATCAGGGTGTAAGTGTGTTAAATTGTGGCAATTAACTCCAAATAGGATAATGGACCTTAAGTCAATACATTTTAACGCCATTTGATACTAGCACCGACCGACCCAATCCGGGTTTGACATTGTTTGTTAATAATTTATTTTAAAAGGGATTCACGATAAGGGATGAGAGAAAAGGAAAAAAGAAAAAAAAAAAATTTGAGCCGGGAAAAGGTGACGACGAAAAATGATTTTTTACTACTTACTTTTTTTAACCTCGTAAAATATTTGACGTTTCCTTACATCCGTTCATTTTCAATATTATTTTCTATCTCTCTCTCTCTTCCCTTTTTGATTTAATGCTTGTCCATGAAATTAACGATTAATATTTACAATCTAAAATATCATTCGAATAATAAAATATTATTTATGTTAAAAAATGAATCGAACATTATTATAAAAAATTTACCTCCATTAAACATCTAATGCAATTAACATGAAATCACTTAATGGCGTAATTTGCAAACTTTTAAGTAATTAAAACGTGACAAAAACGAATTTTAAATTATTATCACATTTATAACTTAAATATTGTTTAATATAACATGAAATCTTCTTGTATTAACTCGATATCGAACAATAATTTTCAATTTAAACAACGCCATCAACTAACACATGATAAAATCAGACTCCATTAATTAAAGTATGATGAGATTGTTTGATTGGACATTTTTGTAAAACGAAATTCCCTGCAAAATTTTTTGATACGATTTAGTTTTTTTTAAAATAAATTTTCAACTTATCAAAAGGAAATACTTTTTAATAATATAAATCGTAGAAACGAATAAATTCTTTACCTTAATTTTATTTTATAAGTCGTTTGGTAAATGCATTGGTCTTATTGCATTATATCAAATTTAATAATTTATAATCCTGTAAAAAAAATGTTTTTAAACAAAAAAAATATCATTACGAAATAGATAATTTCATTATCGTTGCTTAATTGAATTTTAAAAAGAATAGATAAAATAATAATTACTTTTATTTCAAATGTGTAAAATAAAAATTTGTAATTTTGTTCCGGAATTAAAACAGTTTTGCGGTTATTTTACACTAGTACAAAATTTATCCGTTAACGGCGCTGTCGGACAATTTGTTCTTTGCGAAAAATAAAAGTTTTAATTTTAGCTCACTAGATGTCGCGTCAAACATGTCTTCATATTCGCCATGTGAGAAAAATTCTTTTTTTTTCTAGAAACATTTTTTCTAGAAAAGATTTTTATGAAAAAATCATTAATAAATCGGTTATTCGTTATAAAAAATGCTTTTTAAAACCGATTTCAAAAAGAAAAAATTATTCGGTGTTACGAAATAAAAAAAACAAAGCTTCAATCCCTTTTAATTAAAAAAAAAAAAAAAAAAAATTTTTAGTTTAAGTGTGGGTTGTTATCCATTATTTAAATCATTTGATGTTATTTTTACCTGTACAATAAACAAATAATAATAATAATATATAATAAATTACTTAAAGACCTAAGAAGAGGCTGAAATACGTAATAATAATAATAATAATAATAATTAAAAATAATTTATAACAATTAAAAAAAAAACCGAAAGCTTTTCAAAAATAATTTTTTACTATTATTCAACCAGCCTATTCAAATAATTATTATTATTATTTTTTTGAAAAAAACTTTCGAGAAAAGAGAGAGAGAGAGAGGGAGAGAGAGATTGTATTATACGAAACAAAACACACAAAAAAAAAATAAAATAAAATAAAATAAAAGAACCATTATTATACACTTCATACGAGAAAAAAATTTACTTTCAAGTACTACTGGTGTAATTGTGTAAAATTATTAATCATGTTTCATATCGTATGATGACGTCATTAAAAATTTTCAACCAATGAGAGACGAGTAAATGAAAAATAATTAAATTTGTATATAAGGAAATAAAACGACGAAATCGTCGTCGTCCGACAAAAACGAAAGGAAATTTGACAGGAAGTAAAATCGGAGACGAGAAATTTCCGAGGTTCGTGCTTTTCCGTTCACGTATAAGTTAAAGACACTTTTACTTCCTTATCGACGTTTCTAGAAAAAAAAAAAAGTTACCAGACGAAGGAAACCGTGACATTTTATTTTTAAAAAAAATGGAGAAAAAGAATTTATTTTTTTTCCGTTGAAAAAATTTCAATTTAACGTTTTTTTTTAAAAAGAATAAATAATATTTAAAGAAAGTCGAACAAACATGGAAGATTTTCTTTTAAAAAAAAAAAAAAAATGGCATCAATCAAGAGTTCTATTCAGTTAAAATCCTTTCAAAAAGAAGATAAGTGAGGTAGTTCAAGAGAGTAGATAATCATTCACTTCTTTGATTGAAATTTTCTTTTTTTTTATGATGATGGGGGGGAAACTCGGGACCCCCACTTGTTTTTAACAAAAAAAAAAAAGAGAAAAAAACGATTTGAAAAATATATTTTTTTTACGTTTCGATTGGAAAAAGGTTTTTTTTTTTCCCCCTATTGATGAGATTTTATTATCCATTGTTATCCGTCAGCCATTTTGATTTTAATTTCCTAAATTAATTATTATTATTATTATTTATTTAAATTTTACATGATTGCAAAACATAATGCTTTCGATTTCGTGTTATTTATTTTTTTTTTCCTCTTCTGTTATGATTTGAGTTGAAGTATATACGAGTTTGATAATCTTTTCCTTCCCGCCAAATCGATGGTGGAGTTACTATGGAGACACTTCCGGGCTCGAGGCCACCGTTGCCAGAGCAGCTTAAAAAATTTTTCAAACTTTAGAGAGCACGAAGAGAAAATTTGTCTCTCTCTCTCTCTCTTTTAAGAGGAAATTTACAAAAAAAAAAAAAAACAACGGGAGTCGTAATAAAAAAATAAAAAAATTTCTTAAGAGAAAATGTAAAACCCCCCAATCTAAAACATTCTGCTTATGATTCTTTATTGTAACGTTTGGGTACTTCGTGACGTCACCGAATTTTCCATCATGGAGTATAATGGAATCGTTTTTTTTTTTTTTTTTTTTACTGAAACGTCAAACGTTTTTGTTGTTTTTACAAAAAAAAAAAAAAAAAAAAAATCCCCATATCGAGTCATGATACGACGGCTCATGGGGCGATTGTTTAAAAACCGCGCCAAATAAATCGCATTCAAATTATGGCCGAGTGGTTACACGTGATAGACACGTGTCTTAACATATGCTACCATTTTTGCCAATAAAACACATAACCTCCCTCCCTCCTCGTTCCCGTTCCCGTCCCCATCTGTCTATCTGTCTGTCTTTTTACTTTTCCCTTAAACCCCCCCGGATCTATCCCTTTACCGAAAACTCGTTTTCTGACGTGTCAGGATTTCATGAAAAGAATTGAACAACAACAACAACAAAAAAATCATGACTTCATTTTTTCTCTCCCTCTCTCCCTCCCTCTCTCCCTCTCCCTCTCTCTCTCTCTCTCTCTTCTTAATCAAACTGACTTTATAAATAACGGATTAAAAATTAATATTTTTTTTTTTTTTTTTTTTCTTTTTGCAAACTAAATAAATTTAATAAACGAAAATAAAATGAGAGAAACGGGGGGAGGGAGGGAAAGAGGGAGCTTAAAACAGAAAGAAAAATTTTCCAGGGTTATAAAATTTAAAATCCATCAGAAAATTTAAAAAAAAAAAAAAAAAAATTAATTATAAACCAAATGAACGAAAACGAATAAAAATGGTTTTGAACAAAAATTAAATTTGGTTATCGTGGTCGGGGGTAAAACATTCGCACGATGCCAGTGGCAATAGAAAAAAAAAATTAAAAATAAAATAAAATAAAAAAAAAAAGGTGCGCCACCCGCTGATGAGAAAATTTTGTTTTAGATTTTTCTTCCTCCCTCGCCACCCCGTTTTTCCCCTCACATCTCTCTCTACCCCATTTCTACCCCCCATTCCGCTATATTCTCTCATTTCGTTTCCCTCCGCCACGTTTTTCCCTCTCTCTCTCTCCCCTCTCCCCTCTCCCTTCATCTCCCTCAACGCCACATTGTTTTGATTCAGTCTATTAACACACCCTCTCTCTTAGAGTTTTTTTTTTTTTCATATTTTCCTCCCCCCTCCCCCCGTCCTCCGTTGTTTCTTTCTCATTTCTTTTAATTTTCCACACTTTCCTTCCCCCTAAACCCTCGTCTCACACGATTTTTTTTTTTTTTTTTTAATTTTCATTTCTTTTCTACTACCACGTTTTTTTTAATCCTCCTTCCTTTTCTGTTTTACCACTTAACAAATTAACAGTTTCTTTCATTAAAACACAATAAAAAATTTTAACGCCTTTTTTTTCCCCCCCGATTCGAAATCGATACCGTTATTATTATTATTATTATTATTATCACCGTTAACGCCTAATTGGAAATTTTACGATTTCGATTTTTTTTTCTTCCTGAAGGAGAGGGGGAGGCGAGGGGAAAAAACGAAATTGATATTGATAGAAAAAATGTTGGATAGATAGACGATTTCGTCATGGCGTCAAAAAAAAAACCGGAAGTCGAAGAAAATATTATAAATAATAATAATAATACAGTGCCTTCGGACGTTTGCGTTTGTTTTTATTATTATTTTATTATATATTTATGTGTATTTGTACATTTTCTTGTATCCATCTATACTTTTTTTTTTCCACTACGGAAAATCGTTTTTAGAATTTTTTTTGCTTGCTTTATAGTCAGTCACACTTTTCCGACCATTTTTGTCAACTTTATTGCTCTCTTATGCAACTTTTAGTTTGTTTGCACAACACTCTCATCCAAATAAGAGTTGTATTGAAATTTTTTTATTTTATTTAAATCGCAAAAAAAATTTATTTTATTTTTTTTCCTTTTATTCCTCTTTTTCTTCTTCTTCTTCTTCCACTTCGTAGGAAAAGCGACACGAGAAAATAATTCGTACGTAATTTAAATTTCGTTTTTCCTTTTTCCGAGTTTTGAGTTTTTCTCTTGTTTTTTTTTTCGACTATCGTTTCCCGACGACATCTTTTCTCCTCACACTCTTTTAACATCCCTTTACTTCTCTCCCTTCCCTCTTTTCTTCCTCCTTTACCCCTCTTCCTTCATCTTCAACTTCACGCCCTGCTCATTTCCTGTGACACAGCTCAGCCGTTTGATAATAATTTTAAAATTAAAACACATTTCTCCCGTCATCGTAAAATCTCCGGCTTTTCCTTCGCTGTGTAAAAAAAAAAAATAATGATGATGATGATGATGATGATGATGATGATGATGACAAAATTACCTTTAATAAACTCGAAGCTTTCCCCCTCCTCTCCCCACACTTATCGACCGTTAAATATACGTAAATATATATATAAAATGAAAATGGCACTTATCAATTTTTTTTTTTTTTTTTTTTTTTTTTATCGACTCGATTATTTTACCCGATTGATTCTTAATACGTTAAAAGCTCAAAATAATCGACCTTTTTAAAAAAAAAAAAATCTCGGGAAAACTAAATTATCTTCTTCCACGTTCAAAAAAAAAAAAAAAGCAAAAAAGATCTTTAAAAAAAAATTTTTTTTAGAATGGAATCCGCCGTAGAAAAATTTTACTAATGCCTACGTGATTAAAAAAAAAACGGTAAGGGCTGATGATAATAATAATAATAATAATGAAACTTTGAAATAATAATAATAATCTCAACGTAGGGAAAAATTTATTTTTTACACCCCTTTTGAAAACTTTCTTATTTTTTATTCTCCGAGAAATTCTATTTATTTAAGTTTTCACATTTTCCTTTTTTCTTAAATAAAAAATAAAAAAAGTTTTTCATCTCTTATATTGACAAAAAAAAAAAAGAAAAAGGAAAAGTTCTTAAAATAAATTACGGGGTGAAAAGTCAAGCGGAAGTTTTTTTAAATAAAATAAAATAAAAAGAAGGTTTCATTATGTAAAATTTTAAAATTTATTTAAATTTTCCTTCTTTTTCTTTTTCTTTCTACATAAGTAAAGTAGGTAATTTTTTTTCCGCCATTTTTAAATCCGAACAACTCTGTCGTATATTTTTTTTTTGTTAGATTCGATACCTGGAATTTTGACGACCGTCAAAAATTTTCCGACGTAATTTTTCCAAGAGATTCGACCTAACGAACATCATCATTCGACTCACCAAATTCGTATTATCATCATCATCATCATCATTTTTTTTTTGTACCTTTTTCGTGAGAGGTAAAAAAAAATCGGAGGAATAGCTACAGGTCGATCATACTCCAGAATATCATCATTCCTTTTCTCCCTCACCCTCTCCCCTTCACCCCTCTTCTATTTAAATCACCTTCTTCTCCAGAATGTATACGTTTTTTTTTTTTTCGAAAGCTTCGTTTCCACAACATGGAGCACCTTTATCCTTTTTCATTGGTTAAAATATTTTCCAGCCACGCCCTTTCAACCTTTCGACAAACGTTTTAACAAAAAATTTTAAGTTGCCTTTTTTTTCAATTACTTTTCCAATATTTTTCCCCTTCTTTTAATCAAACGATTTTCAATTACAACACATCCGTACATGTTTCGCTTATTTAAACAATATTGATTTTCAATACTTTTAAAAAGATTTTTTTCCCGCTTTCCCACAACTTCGACACATCAGTCAACTTATTTTAAATAAACCGAAAAAAAAAAAAATTTTTTTTTCCATCGGAAAATAGTTTTCTTTAATTTTTTATCGCATTCCATGCAAAACGGTAACGAAACGTATGTGGGAAAAATATTTTTTCGGTCCCTTTTTCCACTCAAATGAATTTACGTAAATGAAAAAAACTGATAAAAATGGCGGGAATCCGAAACCTTTTTGGAATTTTCTTCATATTCGTATTCAAAGTTTTTCCAAAGTAAGACTCTTGTATTATTCGTTATATTATTATTATTTATTTATTTTTTCCTCCTCCGATAATATATTTTCTACAACGCGTTTTCGGTTGTTTTTTTTTTTGTTTTTCTCCAGAAAAAAAATTATCTCCTGGAATTTCCATTTTTTTAAAAATTTAAATAACAATAATAATAATAAGAAAAGAGAAGTGAAAAGTGCTGTTGTTGTTGTTGTTGTTGTTGTGTTATCAATCCGTGTGTAAATTTTCTTTTTTTTTAAATAAAAAAAATGTTTTTCTTTTTGTTTTTTTTGTTTTCTCATGTGATATGACATCGTGATCGGGTCGTTTAATTATTTTCGGTCCGGCGGGATGCTGGACATAAAAACATCAGCCGATTACCTAAGCAGAGCTGGAACATTTTCAAATTTTTCCATGCTTTTTGCTGGTAAATATACATGCACAATAATATAATTTATTAACGTTACGATTTACTACATTTATTTAATAATAATAATAATAATAATAATAATAATAATAATAATAATGATTTTTCCAGTTTTCGAATTAAATGATAATAAAAATTTGACGAAATCCTTCAATCACAGAAGCTCACGGGAAACCGTTACAGGAAAGTTAATTTTTTTTTTTTTCAAAATAATTGCGTAATTATTATGACGTAACACGAGACGCATTTAATTTTCTTTTATTTCCATTTTGATTTCTTAATAACACGCACGCGGGGGGTTGATTTTAATTTTTTTTCTGCCATAAAATGTAAAATAAAAAAAAATAAAAAACGACAGGAAATTGATTTTTCCAAAATTAAAATTAACTTTTCTTTTTTTCTCTTTTAATAAATCAATAATATATCAACTTTAAATTTAATAACGTATCGTAAGGCATTTTGACGTTGAAACCATTTCGTATTCGTTTCCCGCCCCTCCTCCCCCCAAAAAAAATAAAATACCTTTCGACGTACGTACGTCGTACCTGAACGAACAAAAAACGTTCGATTCAATTTTTAAAAAAAAAATTAAAAAGAATTTTCACAAACGATTAATTGATTAATATCGAAATTTTTCTTTTTTTCTTTTTCTTTCCAGATGCTTCTTACAAAGGTTCATGGAGCACACATGCCACGTCACAAACTCAAGGTACGTAAAATATTATTATTATTATTATTCGTTTTAGAAAAAATAGAGAAAAGACAAATAAAATAAATCCACCACAAATTTATATATATAGAGGAAAAGAAAATTCAATTTTGTTAAAAAAAAAGAAAAAACCGTCGGGGGAAAAATAAAAAAAAAATTTTCCAGTTATTATTATTATTATTTTCTTTTTGATTTATTACCAAGATTATTGAATTAATTTTCCAGTGGGTAAGGGCAAAGGTTCGGAATCCCTTTTTTTCAATTTTTTCAATTTTTTTTTTTTTTTTCCTACTACGACATAAAAATAAAAAAAAATTTTCTTACCTTTGATGACGTCACGGAAATTTTTTTCATCAATTTGAATTGAGTATTCTCCAGCATCGACTCCAGGTATTTTTTATCAAACGTGTATTCTGGAGAGAGAGAAAAATAAAGACACAAAAATAAATAAATAAAAATTATTAGGAAAAGGAAAAGTAAAAAAGAAAATTTAATTTCCAGTTTAATATCATCTTGCATGTTTCAAAGTTTTTTTTCTCTCTCTCTCTCTCCCTTTCTCTCTCTCTCTCTCTTTTCCCCCCTTGAAAAAGCAATCACAAAATAAAATTTGACCCGCCTCCCTGTGTATATATATATAAAAAAAAGGAAAAGTTAATTGCATAACATTCGTCTTGATTTGGGTAGAAAAACGAAGTTATTTTTTTTTTTTTTGCGTCGGAAAGAAAATCGATTTGAAAGTTGAAAAGTCAAGAACGGAGGCACGGAAAATGGGAAATTTCCTGGATAGAGAGAGAGAGAGAGAGAGAGAGAGAGAGATGAGAACCAGGAAAAAGTTCTAATGTTCGTGACGTTTCAGGAAATGTAGGAAATCGCGCGTAGTTTTCCAACTCGAGTTTTGGGGGCCCTTTTTGAGGTTTTATACGTTTACCAAGAAAAAAAAAAAAAAAAAAAAAAACATCCGCTGCCAACGACGACGACAAACAACGAATTCATTTTTTTTCGTGGCATTAGAAAAAATAATAATAATAGTAAATAATTCCACGATGTTAACAATCTTTTTTTTTTTTTTGTTAAACAAAGGTATAAAAAGTACTTTGGAAAAAGGAAAAAAAAAACTTATAAAGTACCCCCTTTGAGGTTCTTTCTTTTATTAATGTTACCCTTTTTTTTTTTTTTTCATTTTCATCCCCCCCCCCATTCCCCTCACGTACATACCCCCCATACCAAAAAAAAAGACCCATTTGGATGTAAAAAAAAAAAAAAAAAAAAAAAAAAAAAATTGCTCGGAAGAATGACTCAATTAAAACAAATGAATCGGGTCTATAAACGAAGTTATTTTGTAATCAGCAAATTCACAGTGATTTGAGAGGGTCGAAGATCGAAGGTTGAGGGTTGATGATCGTTAGGGGTGATTACGAATTGACATTGCTTACGTCACGACCAAACCGTAACGGCAAAATAATAATAATATTTTTTTCGGGAAAAATTTTCGATTTCGAACGATTAAAAAAAAAAAAATGGAGGGAGAGAGAGAGAGAGATGGGGGATGAGGGCGAGAGAGAAACGCACGCGAGCGGTAGGGGTGGGGGAAAATTTTTTTTTGTTTTTTTCCTTTTTTCACTTTCGTCCTAACGATCGAAAAAAAAAAAAAAAAGGAAAAATATTATTTTTTCCTTAAACTTGTTGATTGAATAAAAAAAAAAAAAAAAAAAAAAAAAAAGTTTGAATTTTCAATTTACAATCCCCCAACGACAAAAGGATAAGGGATGAAAAAAAAAAAAAATTTTTTTTTTTTTTTTTTCCTTTGAAATTTTCATGGTTCACCGAAGCGGATTTGGGTTACTGGAGAAAAGAAAAGAAAAGAAAAAAAGCTGGAAGGGTTTTTTTTTTTTTTATAAAAAATCAGGTTGTGTGATTTTTTCAAATCAAAAACAAAAATAAACAAAGAAAAAAAAAGAAAGAAAGGTCAAAAGGGGATGAAAAATCGGTAAATTTTTCTTTTTTTTGGGGTGGGTGTGGGGGTAGGGGAGAAGCTTCGTTATGTTTTACGTAATGTTAAACATTTAATAAAATCGATTTTTTTTTTATGCGAGAAATTTTTTTCCAACACAATTTAAATATGGACAAAAACTAACCTAAACTGGTTAAAGTTTTCAAAAAACAAAATGGATAAAAATTTAAAAAAGTGTCAAAAATATGAAATATTATTAAGTTTGCTTACCTTCAAGTACAAACAAACGCATCATTTAACGACAGCAAAACGTCCAGAAATTTCTTGTAGGACATGATGAAATATTTTTGCTCTCTCTCTTAATTTTGCTCATTCTTAATTCGGTAGCAGACGACGTGGAGTATAAGATGAGAGTATAAAAATTAGACGTTGGGGTTGGTTTAATCCGGATGTTTTCATTAGATCCAATCAACCATTTGATGAGTCTTTAACTTCGTTTAAAAAGTCTACGTCGTTTTTTTTCCTTTTCTTTAATTAACTTCATGTTCTTTTGTACAAAGTTGTTGTTCTTTTTGTAACGAAATGATGGAGGGAGGGAGGGAGGGGAGGACGAAGGACACAAACGAAAAAAATTTCAATTCTCACTTAATTTAACCACCATAAGGAGCGGTCGAATCTGTCGGTCGTCCCGAATGTTACTTCGCGTCCTTGAGATTTCAAGTTGATATTAATTTAATTATATTATAATCCCTACAACGCTCATGTTTACCTTACGCGAGATGAGGATTTTTTTTTTCTCACAAACAAAACAACAATGCTGTTACCCGTCGTATGTATTCATCCGCGATTGTTAACGGACGTTTCGACAGGGATTTAATACCGTTTGGTCATTTTTCGTGTGAGGTTCCTCCGCGTAAAAAAATTTAACGTTAACGAAAAAAAGGAAAGAAATAGATTAGAAAAAAAATGATTCCGTACGGGATATTTGGTTTTTGTTTAATTGAAAAACAGAAGAAAATAAAAGGTAAGAACATAAAAATTAATTTATTTATTTTTTTTATTTGTATTATTATTATTATTTATTAATCGTAAAACTTTCGATTTCGTTTTTTTGTAAAAAAAAAAAATTAAAATTTACGTCATTGCATAATAATGGGTAAAAAAATTATCGTTCGTTGATTCGTCCGCCATTTTGATTTTTTTTTTTTTTTTGTATAAAATAATTCTTCTCTTTTCTTATCCGAAATCGTTTTAATTTTTATCAGCGAAAGAAAAAAAGAAAAAAAAAAAGAAAAAGTTTTATTCTTTTGAGAAAGTTCTAGAGAGAGTGAGAGAGTGAGAGAAAGAGAGAGAAAGAAAAGTTATATAAAATCAAACGTCGTCATCAATTTTTTTTTCTTTTTTTTTTGAATAAATTTTTTTTTTTTGTAACAAAAGAAAAAAGCAGAAGATTAAGTCTATCGTTTTTCTCTTTTTGAAGAAAATAAAATAAAAAAAAAAAAAGTTGGAAAATCACTCAAGCGAAATGATTAGGCGCAAATAATAATGGGGGCAACAAAAAGCTACCAACCTACCTACCTCCCCATATTTTTTTTTTCGCCTCCTTTTTCTATCTCTCTCTCTTTCTCTCTCTCTCTATCTCTATCTTTCTCCATTTTATCCTTTTCAATTCCTTTTACAGTTTTTTCTAATCGTACATTTTTCCCATTTTTTTTTAACTTATAAGCTTTTATATTTTTTTTTTTTTTTTATATAATAAAAAAAAGAGAAAAAGATTTTGTCATAAGTTTACTACTTACTCTTAAACGGTTTTTTTTTTTTTGCTACTTTTTAACAATCTTTCCCTTTTCCTTTCCTTTCCTATCCTTTTTTTTTTTTTCCCTGCCCCCTATCATTATTTAATACTTGAAAAATTTTTAGAAATAGGAGAGAGAAGAAAAAAAAAAAAAAAAAAAAAAAAGAAAAAGGAATGAGAATGACGACAATAGTTTCCATTTGGTTGAATTTCTATTTTGAAAAAGAAAAAGGGATTGCGAAGGAAGAAAAGTCGAAAAAAAATTTTCTTTTTTTTTTTTCCGCGCTCGTCTATTGTTTCGAAATTTAGTTTCGAAACATTTTCTATAATATTCCTCCTATATATATATATATATCTTTTCTACGCTTGGCTACATGTTTATTCAAAACTCTAACCTTTTCTTTTTTGTCGGTTTGTGTTTTGCATACATTTTAGGTACATCCGGTAGGTTTCGTTTGATTTTTTTCGTTCGGAAAAGGTAAAACTCGAGGGTGTTAAAAGGGAGGAAAAGGGGGAGTGGGAGTGGGGGGGTTAATAGTTGAAAGGTTATTTAAATTCCAACTTGAGATTATTATAAGAAAGGCGTGAAACGTGATAACAAGGCCGTGTTAACCGTAATCGTCATCTTCTTTGATCTTTTTTTTCCCATCCTTTTTAACATGCGGCGGCGGTGGCGTAAACATTTTTAAATCACTTCGGGGCGTTATCACAGTGTAAAAAAGAAAACAATCAGGCTCCTGGAAAAACAACAAAAACAAAAACAAAAAAAAAGCTAATTTTCATTTTTCCAGGCGGCGTTAAAAGAGATTTTTTCCTCTTGTTTGTTTGTCAGATTGTTAATGACAATCCCTTGGAGGGTTTTGAAAGGTATAATTAGTTTATTGAAAGATCAAAAGGATTTTATATATAAAAAAAAAAAAGATGATGATGATGATGATGATGAATAATTTTTTTTACGCTTATTTCTTACTCTTTTTGTGTTTTCACCTCTTTTGGTTAACCTCTTTTACCGAATCATCGCTTTTTTTTTTTTTCTTTAATGGGCGTATGAAAATAAGCGTCGTCGTTGTCGTCGAAACCCTTCTGGCAATGAAAGCTTTTCCACTGATGAATAAAATAAAGCAAGTGTTTGTGTTTTTTTTTTTGCTTAAATTTTAATAAGGGATTCAGGTTTGGCACCGGAAATGACGTAACATCTTCCCAGGTTTTAAAAATAAATTTATTTGAATCAATTTGAACTCGCGACCTTGTAAAAGCGAAACGGAGGGAAAATTTTTAATAACAAAAAAAAAATTTATTATTATTATTATTATTATTGTTATTAATTGATGGAAAATTTTGGGAGGGGGGGAGAAAGGAAGGAAAAGTTTTTTTTTTGTGTGGAAATTTTCCTCGAATTTTAAAAAAAAATTTAAGGATGCGGTACAATTGAGTCTTTTATGCATAGAAGCGGTTGAATGATTTTATTTTGCAAAAAAAAAAAATCATAAGTTAAGAGGTACGAAATAGGGTTAAAGGACGTTCGTCGGAAAATCAGGTGTTCTACCTTTGGGGAAAAAAAAGGAAAAAAATTTGGGTCGATCGCGCGCATTCATTTAAATTTTTTTTCATGATGTGGATCGTCGAATACATTAAACGTTGTGTCTAAGCCGTCCCTGGATTTTCTTGAACATCCAGGTACGTAGGTAGGAGGTCGTCGGTTAAAAAAACAAAACAAATTAAAAATATGAAATTTTTAGGAATGATTATTATATGTAAAAAAAAATAATAAGTAGTAGCAGGTAGGCGACGGACGATGACGTCGACGATGACGACGACGATGACGACGACGATGACGACGACGACGTCGACACCGTGACGGTCGCCCATGACTAAATTTTTTTTTTTTTCTCTCTCTCTCTCTCTCTCTTATTTTATTCAGTGATACATAAAGAAAAGATAAATTTCCCTTTACTTTTAGGGGATGATTGAAGTTGATCAAAACTCATAGTTGTCAGATTTTCACCCTTGTAATTGTATAAAAAGACAGAAAGATAGAGAGAGAGAGAGAGAGAGAGAGAGAGAGAGGAAAAAAAAGGAAAGGAAAAAAGAAAGAAAGGAAGGAAGGAAGAAAGGAAGAGAGAGAGAGAGAAAAAACATAGGGAGTGGGAAAACTTATTTTATAACACTACGCAAACCTTCACTTTTGCCTTTTTTTTTCCTTTTTAACTTTGATTTACTTGTTCTGTTACTTGTCAAACCTTTTGAATTTTATTAAATGTTGTTGTTTTTTCTTACAATTCGATTCGAATTTTCTTTTTGTTTTTCTTTTTTTTTGTTTTTCGTTTACACGGTTAATTTTATAAAAAAGATGAGAAAGAGAGAGAAAGAGTGAGGAAAAATCACATTTTTAGTGGTGTGACCAGTAACAGTTTTGTCGATTTTTTTTGTTGTTCGATTCTGCTGACCCGATAATCATCGAATCCCATCCGACAGACACAAAACACGTTAAGCATATTCATAAAAACAAAAAAAAAATTTTTTTTGAAATTTATGGTGATATTTACACAATCCGATATTGGGGAGAAAAAAAAACCTAAAAAACCGTTTTTCTCCCCGTTTTTTGTGTGGTGGTATCAAATTACCCAAAACCCATAGGCAAACAACAACAAACACAGGATCATCAAAATCATCCATCATTCTTCGTTTACAACGAGTTATAAATTCCATTAAAGTTTTACTCTCTCTCTCTCTCTCTCTTCCTCCCCCTCCCTCTCACCCCCCCCACCGAAACTTTGCATTTATGATGTTTTTTTTTTTTAAACAAAAATTGCACTAAATAACAATTTTAAATTTTTAATTCTCGTTCGCTCCATCGTTCATATTTCCCGTTTTTTTTTTTTTTTTTCATTCACACGCGAAAAAGAAAGACAAAGGAAAACACCGGAAAATGTTTAAGTATGACGTCATTAAATTTACTGTTGTAATTTTGCGCTTGGGACACGCAAATAAATTAATAAATTATTGTGGGAATGAACGAATTTTTTTTTTTCTAAGCCAATGTTTACTCATAAACATTTTCCTTACAAAAGATTGAACTCCCTTGTGTGTTGTCCAATAATAATGATGATAATAATAATAATGATTAGTTCGATTTCTATTTAATATCAACTCCCATACGTATCAGTGATGACGTTACGAACGTATAAATGCGAAAAAAATGAGTTAATAAAAAAAAAAACAAATCTGAAAAGAACAGGAGAACAAATGAAAAGAGTGAGTGAGAGAGAGGGGGGAAAGAGGAGGAATACGGATGGATAAGAGGGTAGGGAGGAAGGGGAAGGAGGGAGGGATGAAAGTGAGACAAATACCCTTATTATTAAACCTCTTTTAATGAATATTTTTTTTTTTTTCTTCACAAGTAAATAAAACAATAATATAATACGTGGGGTAAAAATATTATTTATTTTAATGGTCGCGTATATAAATTCGAAACGGGGAAAAACGGAACGTCGTCTGCGAACGACGTTCGTTGACATTTTCTAATGGCAAACCATTGTTATCGACGTATCTTTTTAATGGAACACATGTAAAAAGACTACAAGAGAGAGAGAGAGACATAGAGAGAAAGAGGAAAAGATCAATAATCACCTTCTCCTCTTTCCAGAACGAAGAAAGAAAGAAAGGAAGGAAGGAAGATAAAGATAAAGAGAGGAAGAGAGAGAGAGAGAGAAAAAAAGTAAATTTTCATTTAAAATGATACTGTCATCATCACTTGATGAAACCGTTCCAGAAACGTACCGCTGGAGAAAAAAAAGAAAAAGTATTTATTATTTTCATCCTTGGAGAATAATTAATATCAATGGTCATCCCTAAAGAATTTTTTCTCTTACCCCTACCCTTACTTCTAATCGTTTCCCAATTGCTCCATTAGGATTTAAATATTATGACGGATTAAGAACCGGAAAATTCGTTACGTCATCACGTGTACGAACAAATAATGACAAAAACGTTTTCTTAGCGCAAAATGTTTTTTAAAAAAAAATGAAATATCTGCGACAGTTTTTTTCGGTTTTTTTGACGTCATGAAAATTGTCGGAGTTTTGAAAAGAATTGACGAACAAACATAACCTAGTGCCACGATTTTTTAATTGGTCGGTTTAATGGTTTTACTTTAACGAAGTATTAATGGTGGCTTTTTATCACTTATTTATTTACTTTAATTTTTCTTTTTTTTTTTTTTTTTCTGAATGGTTTCGTTAATTTTGATACAAATGACGTAAAATATTCTGTTGTACAGAATTAATGTTGGTGCCCTTCGGCTTTAGTTATGAAGTAACGAGAGGAGGGTCATTAAACTTCAATAAATTTGAAACGGATAAAAGAAAAATGGGGAGGGTTTTTTTTTTTATACGGCCGAATGAATAAGATGATAGAAAATAATGATGATGATGATGATGATTTTTAACTTGTAAAAACATTGGTAACTTTTCGACAAAAAAAAAAAAGGAAAGAATTTTTCTAATTGTGACATATTCTTCGAATCAACTCAACAATTTATTAACTTCCGGTTTATTTAAAAATTATTTAATTTAAATTTATCATTGCGAATGATGTCACATAATAACGTCCGTCGACGTGTACAATACATCGTATTTTTTATAATTTTCGCGACGGAAAATATGAACGTGGATGTAGAATAATTTTTTTCTTGTATTTTCAGATCCATATCAAGTTTTTGGTCCTACTAGCAGTCGACTAGCAAGTTCTGGTAAGTTTTTTTTTCATCTTTAAATGCGGAAAATTTATGTTAATTTAAAATTTTCTTCTGCCACTTTTTTTTTTTTTTTTTTGCGACGTTCATCGAGCATGTAAACGTATGCGGTATTTTTTTTTTTTTTTCATTTTTTATTTTTCATTCTAGAAAAAAAAAAAAAAAAAGATTTTAATGTTCAGTTTTACCCTTACGAATCAAAAGCAGGGTAGAAAGAAAATTTTTTTTTTTTAAATGGGAAAAAGGGGTAGATTATCATTATTATTATTATTATTACAAATTCGTCATTCGACGAATGAATTAATAGATTTTCATTAGGAAAAAGGAAAATAATAAAAATAATGAGTAAAAATATTTACTTGTTTTATTATTAGGCTTCGTCAAAAACGAAAAAAAAAAAAAATTTCCCGGAGGAACGATCAATTTCCTCCCCCCCCCCTTTCCGTATATATATGATTTTCCCTTGGGAAAATTTTATTTTAACAAAATCGTTTATCGTACGTAATTTTATGGTTATTTAATTTAAGAAAATTTATTTTTATTATAATTGTAATTATTATTATTATTATTATTATTATCGTTGTTTTTGTTATTATTGTTTGTTTAGGTTCCGGACAAATTCAATTATGGCAGTTTCTTTTAGAATTACTATCGGATTCGTCAAATGCAAATTGCATAACGTGGGAGGGTACAAATGGAGAATTCAAATTGACGGATCCAGATGAAGTGGCACGAAGATGGGGAGAAAGGAAATCAAAGCCGAACATGAATTATGATAAACTGAGCAGAGCTTTAAGGTAATTATAGGGCAAAATAAAAAAATTACTCGTTTCCTGCTGCGTTCCTTGCTCCGGAAAATTTTTGGATTGACAATTTCGTGTCATTAGACGAGCGGTTAAATTTATGAAAATGAAAAAATGATAAAATGATGATGATGATGATGGTGGTGATTAAAAAAATTGTTTATTATCATTATTTCATTTTCATCTTTTGTAAATGTAATACAAATAATCAAAATGGCGGCGAGTTTTCTTTTTTCTACTTGACTTAAATTCGATTTCTGTTGTTTTCCACAGATATTACTACGACAAAAACATAATGACGAAAGTACACGGTAAAAGATACGCGTACAAATTTGATTTTCAAGGTTTGGCAGCAGCGACGCAACCCACGGCAGCAGATCCTGCAGCATATAAATACCAATCGGATTTTTTCATGTCTAGTTACCATCATTCGACGAAAATGAATTTTCTGAGTCCTCACGCTGTCGTTCCGGCAAGCACTGGTAAGTTTTCTTTCCTTTTTTTTTTTAATTTTCCACGGGTTCGTTTCAAGTGGTTTAAAAGTAAATAAAAACGGGTTCATTTTAAAATGTAAATTTTATCGGGGGGGAAAAAAAAAAATTTTCGAGAGAGAGAGAGAGAGAGAGAACGAAAGGAGAGAAAATTTTTTTACAATTATTTTTCTGTTTGCTCATTTGAAGATGATTTTTTCCTGTCAGAATCAGACGCGGTGAAAATATTGGTCACACGCACGCACACACGCACACGCAACCGGGGAGGGGAGGTTAGGGGAGTGGGGGGACTCGTGTCAACACCATCACGTCAATTTCAAATAATTTTTAAATAAGTTAAATATTTAAATATTAACTTTAGGAGAAGGAAAATTTTTAAAAGATTTTCTGTTGGAACGTGTTGATGATGATGATGATGATGATGACGTCTTTGCCTTTACGATTCGGGTCTTTTTACATTTACATAAAGGCCCCCCCCGAAAAAAAAATAGAGAAAATTGAAGCAAATCGTTAGAAAATTTTTTTTTTTGATTTTCCCCTTTTATTTTTTAAACAAAAAATTTAATAAAAAAAAAAAAAAAATTTGTTGAAAGTGGTAGGAAACAAAAAAAAAAAATAAAATAAAAATTGATTTTTTTTTTTTTTTTGGAGAACTAAGATGAGCGAAAGGTTGAGGAAAAAAAAATATCCTCTCTAAGAAGGCAATTTCCTGAGTTTGGCGGCATTTTTCTCCCGGGAGGAGCAATTTCAGTTTTTCATTTTTTTTCTTGAATTGGGTTATCAACGCTTTAGGCTGGAAAAATTTTTCTTCCTTTTTTTTTCTTTTTTATTTTTTTTGGAAGAAAGATAAGGAAAATGTTTTTAGAATAAAAAAATAGCAATAAAGGAGAAGATGTTGATGAGAGTGGGGAGGTGTGGGGGGGTTGGGGAGGGAGAGACGAAGAAATGAAAAAAGTCAAAAAAAAAAAAAAAAAAAACGCTTCCAGAATATGTGACGTGAGCTGATGACTCTTTTTTATTATTTTTCGTTGTGAAAAGTCACGGTCCGCAACTTCAAAATTTTCCTTCCTTCCCCATTCTCCGTCCCTGTTGGAAAAAATAAAAAATAAAAAAAGAAAATCTCTGGAAAATTTTGCTTCTTTTTCATTCATTCATTCGAGAGCCAAAAAAAATTTTTTTTCTTTCATCTTTCATTTGCGTTAATAAATTTTTATATTATCCTTCGAATCGGACGACATTTTTAAAACATTTTTTCCCTCCCCCTCCCTCCTTTACCCCCCGGCTGAAGAAATTCCCGTTCTGATTTTGAAAATCTTTCGTAGGAGTTTTTTTTTTTTTTAAAATAAAAATTATCGTGTGAGTTTGGCAAATGCTAAGGGGAACCGCGGTCAAGAAAGTGTCAGAAGAAAAAAAGGAAAAAAAAAGAAAAATGTTTTTCTCACCCGTAAACGAATCGATATATATTTTGTTTTGCGTGTTTTTAACAAAATGGCGGCGGTGCGTTATAATTTTTTTTTTTTTTTTTTAAATTTGTTTTGTGTTTTCATTATTGTCACCTTAAAAGTTTTTTTTTCTTTTTTTCTTTTCTTTACGTGATTATTATTATTATTGTGTTACAAAAAAAAAATGTTTCATAATAATAATAATTTATCGTTTTCATTAGAGAGAGAATCAGTCTCTTTTTCCATTTCCGTTTCCTTTCTTTTAATTTTTTTATTATATTCGTAACGAATGAGGAAAAGTGAAAAAGGAAAATTTTTGTTTCTTTTGAATTTTAGCTAGTCTTTACAATTCAATACAATTCAATTCTTCCCCGTCATCGTACTGGACAAATTCCAGTGCCAATTTGTATTCGAACATAGCAGCGGCGTCAACCCACAGCATGGGACATCATTCGACACATATGACGTCTCCTCTGAGCACTTACCCTCCTTATGCATGACAGCCTCCGGCATCTTGGAATTCTTGCAGAGATCCATACAGGCGTCTCACGGCGACGGTTCAAACGCCATCGTCACCCGAAGATCGTTGACACGCGGATTCTTCGCACGGTACTGTAGATACAGAGTATCAAAAAAGTTGTCTAGGGGTTATATACACGGACATCTTTTAAACAAAGAAACGAACAAAAGGAAAAATTTTCGAATCGCGTATATAAGTACTTACGAGGGATAAATGGCAAAATGGCCGCCGTAATAATATACATTTTTTTTGTAATATATTTTATGTACAGAAAAACAAAAAAAATTGTAATTTAAAGGACTTGCGAAAAAATTAAGTTAAGGGGAAAACTTCTCTCCCCCCACCCCCGGCCCTTTCGAAGAAAATGGGAGGCAGGGCACGAGGAAGGACAGGGAGGAGGACACGATTAAAAATAATTTTTCGTGGTGAATCGAATGCATGGAACGCGAATGAAAAATTATTTTCTTTTATAATGTTTCCGTTTAATCGTTTCCGGTTAATCGTTTCCGGTTAGTCATTGTCATAGTTAGTGTTTTTTTTGTACATAGCCGTTTACTATAAACTTCATGACCGTGAGAGTAAAAACAAAGGTTTCCTCATTTTCTATTGCTAGTATTACTACTACTACTACTATTATTATTATTATTATTATTATTATTATTATTATTATTATTATTATTATTATTATTATAAAATTCAAACGGTTCAAAGATTTTCCTTTTCCACATAGTTTAATAAACGAATATTATTATATCTAGTCATTGTGTGAATGAAATGTATAAATATCATAAGTTGTCATACTTATCAATACTTTGGTTATCTTTTAATAATAATAATAATAATAATAATAATAATGGTGATGAGTTGAAATTTTCGTAACGGTAACAATACACACACACACACACACACACACACACACACGCACACACTCAGTAAATTTATTGCTTATGCGTGGGGTACTAAAAAAAAAATGGCTACCACCTACAGCGAGCCGTCGTTTGTTGCCATAGTGTACTCACATTTATAATTTATATATACACGTACGTGTGTATATATAAAATTTAAATAAGTCGTGTGCTTTTGTCTAAGAATAATTGTGTATTTTATAAATTTAAAATATTTTCAAGCAACCCTCGCTCTCTCTCCCCCCCGCCCCCCTCCGTCATTTCGTAAAAAAAAAAAAAAAGAAAATCTTTTGTTTCCGGCGAATGCATATCCTTTTGGCGCACGATGTATTGCATGTCTATTTCTTCGGGTTCGTTGATTTTAGGGTGATTTTTTTTTATTTTATTTTATTTTATTGACCGAACGATTTCCATTATTATTATTATTAATCACTCGAAAATTTTTTACAAAAAGGAACGTGTATTTAGACAAAAAAAAAAAAAAAAGGATCATCGTGACGCGTAAAAAAATATTTTTTAAGAAGAAGAATATAAAGTTCAACCTTCCCTTAAAACGTCCGCCCCTTTATTTCAAGACGTGAAAATGTGATTGGCATGAACTTCGCCGGGATAAATTTTCCACGCTTGCTCATTTCCGGTTCCGTTCCCCAAACCGAAAAAAAAAAATCACATTATTATTTACCTAAAAGACTGGTTTTAACATTTCAAATCCGTTGTTTCGTCTTATCAATTTTATTTTCTATTTAAATATATTTTTCCAAAAAAAAAGTAAAAAATGTAATAAAAAAAAAAAGGGAAAATGAGGAAAATGAGGAAAATAAGAAAAATGAGGAAAATGAGGAAACGACGGGCTTTAAATTTTTTTAAAAAATGGCGGATTATTATTTATTCGTTTATTTGTTCGTTAAAGCTCGCGCCCATTGTACATATGATATAATCATTTTTAAAAATTATTATTATTATTATTATTCGAATTAAATATAAAATACCAGAACCTAAAATACTCGAATTTATAATATAAATTATTTATGAATTCCTAGTCTCATATTATATATATATTTAATATATATATATTGTGATAGTTGTAGTATGAAATAATTGTTTATATATATATAAATAAATCTTTTTTTTTATTATTATTATTATTTTGGTTGTTTGTTTAAACAAAAAAATAATTTTTTTTTTTTTTTTTACTACTTGCCAAGTAAAATTATTGTAAAAAAAAAAAAAAAAAACTCAACAAACAAACAAATAAATAAATAAATAAAAAGGTTATTGTTTTTATTTTTATTAATATTAATATTAATAAGAAAAAGAAAATAATCATCATTATTAATATTATTAATTTATTATGTAATAATTATTTAAACAAAAAAAAAATTAAAAATGAATAATAAATAAAAATTATGATAAAAAAATATTTATATATAGATAGATAGGAGACATTTTTTTAAATTAAAATTAAAATGACAAAATTAATTAATTTCTATTGACACGTTCGATAATTTTTTTTATTTTAATTTAATTTAAAAAAAAAATTAAATATTATAAATATTGTGAAAAAAAAGGTGATTGGTTTTTTTTTTTTTTTTTTTTTTTTTTTTTTGGAAAAATGAAGGGAGAGGAATGTGAGGCAGGGCGGGAGAGAGAGTGAGTGAAAAAAAAGGGGGAAAAAAAATGGAAATTCGAAAGGGGGGACAGCAATAATAAGTTGACGTGATACTTTTTTTTTTTTAAAGCATAAATTAACCTTTTTTCAAGTCAATAACGTTCCGCAGTAATTTAAAATCGAAGAAGGCGGTGGAAAGTGGTCGGATGAAGTGTCATTAACGGCATGCGGTTCTCACACTACTTTTTTTTTACTGTCGTGTATACCTGGGAAAGTATAATGTTTCGTGCTAAAAAAAAAAAATCGAGTCAGGCATGACACACACACACACACGTAAAATGAGTTGAATGCGTGTCATATAGACACCGGAGACTTTTGACGTTTACCCCGGCTTGTTGGTGTCGAGGTGGCCACGCGACCAACAGCGTAGGTCATGGCCGAAGTAACTGGATATTATCTATAACATTCGTCACGAGCAGTGGGAAAAAAAAAAAAAAAAAAATTTTACCCGAGTGTTATTATTATTATTATATTTATTAATTTTAACCTTGTGCTTGTCATTATCCGACCAATAGGAAGTCAATTGTTGAAATTCAAAAACCTGAGTAATAAGGGAAATTGTAAAGCCCTATCATACTCAATACGCAATCATTTAGACAGAACACACACATCCATGACACATGCACTGGCCCAACACACAACAACACAACAACTGCTCATTCACAAGCACAAGACACATCTATACAACACATCCACAACACATGCACAGGCAAAACACATGCACAAGCACAACACTCATGTAGAACACACCAACAACACATTCACAGGCACAACACACATCTACAACACATCCACAACACATTCACAGGCACAACACACATCTACAACACATCCACAACACATTCACAGGCACAACACACATCTACAACACATCCACAAGCACAACACGTACAACACACGTGTACGACACATCCACAGCACATGCACAAGGAACACACACACAATACACACCCAACACATCCACAACACATTCACAGGCACAACAGACATCCACAACAGACATCCAGAACACATCCACAACACACACAATCCAACTAATAATAATAATAATAAATAATATGTTTAAAGTTTAATGGTATATAAAAATGAAAGGAAAACAATAAGTTTAACATCATTTTAAAAACATTTTTCTTTAAATTTGGCACAGGGGTTGATGTTGATGTTGTTGGGAGAAATTTTTTTTGGGAAAATTACAAGAAGGAGGGATGAATGTAAAAAGATATTTATATTTATTTCTTAAATTATCAAAGTGCATTTAAACATAAATCACGTGTTCAAATAGTTGTGAAATTTTAGTCAAAACGAACGGCGAACATGGGTCGATAAATGGGCACACACACACACACATATGATGATGATGATGATGATGATCAAATAGAAAACAACGTTCGACCCTTGATTTCCTTAAGGCAATGATAGTTAATAATTTCACTCGATTAAATTCAAAAGAAAATTTTTTTTCATCCCTTTTCGATACGGCGTAAAACCCATAAAAAGTTTTTCCTTTGACGTTCGTTAAAAACGTCTCTCTCTTTTCTCTTAGAAAAAAAAAAAAAAAAAAAAAAAAAAAAAACCATTTTTCTTTTTCAATGGAAAATTTTCACAATGAAAAAAGAAGTAAAAGAATCATTTTTCTATCCAATAATCACAGGGGTTAAAACTTTTTATAAACTGTTGGAACGTCGTCTGCTTAAAAAGCGTTTATTGTCGCGCGCGCGCGCGCGGTAAAAAAAAATCGTGGAAGGAGATTAAAGTGTATTTTTAAATAAATCATAAGTTAAACATACGTTTATAAAAAATTATTATTTAACGTTACGTTTCCGAGTCATTTATCATTTTGATTTTTTTTTAAACAAAATATCCGACGGCGCTCAACCGTCTGACATATTTTCACTCTTTTTACAAAAAAAAAAAAAAAACTTTTTTTACAAAATGACTCAGTTTGACTCGTCATCTTTAACGTAATAATAATAATAATAATAAGTTTTTTTCTATATGAAGTTAACAAATTCGTATGATGAGAAAATGGAAATTTTCAACAGTATTGTAAATCTCTCCGAAAAGGAATTTTTCTTTTAAAAGTTTTATTGCGGATTAAAAAAATAAAATAAATAAATAAATTATATTTAATAATATAAATAATAATAAAGGAAAAGATTCCAAGACATGAAAATTCATTTGAAAACAAAAGAAAATAACCGAACCAAAGAAGTTTAATCGCTTTGCATTTCAATGACTTTATTATTATCATTATTATTATTATTATTATTGCGGTTTTCCATATTCATAAGGAATGTTTAAAAAAAAAAATAAATTGTTTTTCATTTCTTTCTCATTTCATTTTTCTTTTCATCTTTTCTTTTTTCCTCCTTCTCCTCCGTATCAAAATTTTATTTATATATTTTTTATTATTATTATTTTAAAATAAATAACGCGGAAATGAATATGCGTGTGATACTTTTTTTTCCTCCTTTTCTTTCTTTCTTTCTTTCTTTTTACAATGACAATGAAAATAAAAACAAAGGAAAAAGAAACAAAAAAATTATTTAATTTTTAACGGTTTTGTTGTTTTTTGTTCTTTTAAATGGGGTTCGAAATATTACGTACGCATAAGAAAACAAATGGAAAAAAAATTTCGATTAATCGATTAATCGATTTACGTCACATTCGATTGGTGAGAAACCTAGCGGGAAAATGTGGAAACATTTTTTTCTATATGATTACTACTGAGCGACTTGTTTTTTTTTTTTTTTTTGTTGTATTATTATCGAGCAATAAAATAATTAATTAATTAAATATGCTCGAATTTTTTTTAAACAATTTAAATTGTGTTAAGTGGCAATTTACAAAAAAACATTATTATGAAATTTTACTTTCAAAAAAATTAAAAAATTCGAATGGGGGGAAGGCGTCTAAACCGTTTTTATTTTAAACAATATGGCGGCGGACTTGTTTAAATTTATTTATAATTTTGATGAAATATTTTTTTTGGCGGGAATTTCGCAGGTAATGAAAATGTTGATTTATTACACGATGAAATTATCAAGTAATAATTAATTCGTATTATTTGCATTTGTTTGAATAAATTTATTAACAATAAAAAAAATTATTATTTACATTCACGATCGTGCTAGACGAATAAAAAAATAAAAATACCTCGATGATTAATTTATTGTCAAGGACAAATTTAAGAATTATTATTAATTGAACATATATTTAACGCAAATTAAATTTTACCTTTCATCTTTTTAAAATTAAATTTACAAAAAGATGAAAGAAAGAAAAATTTAAGTTGGTTGGCTTTGTCTTTATTAAAGAAATATCGTAATGAGGTTTTCTTATTTTTATTTGCAAATAGATAATTTTCGTTTAAAAAAAAAATTGTTTGGATAATGGCGCCAAAACTTCACGCGATCGACATACCTTGATTTATTTACCTAATTTAAAAATTACAACTTTCGACGTAAGGCAATTAATCGAATAAAATAATTTTAGACAAAATTTTTTGGAAAAGATAAAATTTTATCAAATTTTTGCCTTCTAATTGATTACAATATTGAATGCGCCAATTAAATGATTATTATACTCGGGAGATGTTTTAACCTTTGATGCAAAAAATTATGGGTCACGTGATGTGACACACGAATGACGTAATCCGACGAATAAAATAAATTAAAATAATTGTCTGGATGGATCACTTTCGGTAAGTTTAAAATGCTTTTTTTATTTTTTTTTTAATGAAAACATAAAATAAATAAATAAATAAATAAATAAATGTACATTTGCATAAAATTAATAATTATTTTTATTTATTGACTTAATTATTTATTAATTGATATATTTCACAAAAAAAAAAAAAAAATAAGTAAAACCGTTACATGTGTTAAACACGTTCGTTACTCTTATTGAAATCAATTTTTTTTTTTTAATTAAAAAATTTTTATTACACATTAATTTGTTAAGTAATTTTTTTAAAGTGAATTTTCTTACACATGATAATGATAATTTTTTATTTATATTTAACATAATTTTCCAATCGAACTAATTAATTTAAATAAAAATTTATTTTAAAAAAAATATTTAAACAAAAAATAAATACGAATATATTTCATAAAGTGTTGTAAGTGTATTCGTAAATTTATTTATTTTACAATAAATATAATCTTTTTTGACAGTAAGTATTTAATTTACATATATTATTAAATTTTATGTAAATAATTAGTGTTTACCACAGACATGAAGTAACTTATTGATTCCGGTAACCACCATTTTTTTACGGTTCCATTTTTTTTGTTTTACAATAGTCAAATCAGATACTTTTTACTCGATTATATTTGTGATTTTTTTTTTTAACGGTAAAAAGTATTATTATTAATTTAATTATTATTTTTTTATTATTCGTTTGTTTATTTTCTGTTTAAAAATTAATTATTATTTACTAAAAAAATTTAAATTTATTATTATGAATTAAATTGATTTATATTTTTTTTAAATGTTTTTTTTTTTTTTTTATTAACTATTTCTTTGAACCGTTATTATTATTTTCAAAATTTTATGATGATAAATATAATATTAATATTTTACAAAAAAAAATTCGTTTTTATTAAAAAATAAATATATAAAAATTATTTTAACACTAAATTCAAATTTTCTGCCATTAATAAAATTTTTCAGAACCTGATTTGACTCGTTTATATTAGTTTCGAATTGAATTGTCAAAAAGGCGGTGGAAAGAGTACAGCTGTTAAACATTAAATTGTTGGGATTTTATTTTATTTTATTTTTAATTAATTTAAAATAAAAATGGTTGTCAATAGTGGAAAACATTTGAAAATGGGTAAGTTTTGTACATGTTTTCATAATTTTTTTTATTATAAAATTCATATTAGCATGGAAAATTCGATAATTTTGACCGTCATGCTTCTACCTCATATTATCCAGAAAAAAAAAAAAAAATTCCATTTCGGCTTGAAATTTATTTAAGAGTTGTAATTTTTAACGATAGTAACGTTGCAAATTAAATAAATTGGATTAATTAACAATGATTTGAAACATTTATTAGGAAAAAATGTTTTTTTGTTTCATTTTTCATCCAAAAAGTAAAAAACCTTGAAATGAATCACCCATAGAAACATAAAAAAAAAAAAACCAAACAACCTTGCTTTGTAACAAAAACTACCATTTCATGAGTATTGGTTAGTTAATAAGTGGCATTATGTCTTAATATAATAATTAATTATGTAATTTCATCTTTGTGTCTGACTCTCATTACCAATTTATTGTGAAATTTATTTATTTATTTTTTAAATTTATTCATAACTTATTGAATTTTATATTTTAGAAAATAAATTCTCACAAAATTGCCAAAAAAAATTTTTACGATGCTTATATATTCTTTTACTTTTAAAATCATGTTTTTTCCATACAGATTAAACGATAATATTCGAGTAATTGCATCATAATGTAATTATCATCATTGTTATTATTGTAAACAATTTTTTTTAGGGGATAGTCAACCTCCGTTAAAAGATGCCTGCCTTAGATTATACAGCATGAGATTTTGTCCTTATGCTCAAAGAGTGCATTTAGTTTTGGATTCTAAAAATATCAAGTAAGTTTTTTTTTTTCTTTATCTGTTTCAATTTTCTACGATTTTCACAAATGTGTTTAATTGTTACGTAAAGTTGTGAAACAAACTGAGTCGGGTATCTATCTCATTCATCATTTCTAAGAATTGTTTAAATTTATTTTGTTTTTGCAGGTATGAAGTAGTCAACATTAATTTATCTGACAAACCGGATTGGTTTTATGACAAATCACCGGAAGGAAAAGTTCCAGCTCTTGAATTTCCCAATGGAGAAACATTGTACGAAAGTCTCATCATTGCCGATTACTTGGATGAAAAATATCCAGAACGTCCATTGTATCCGAAAGATCCATTGGCAAAAGCAAAGGATAAACTTTTGATGGAAAAATTTAACAGAGTTATAAGAGGGATATATAAAATGTTGCTTCACGAAGGTTTCAGTCCGGAAATAATGGATGACGTCAAAGCAGGTTTAGATTTATTCGAAAAGGAAATGTGCATTCGAAAAACTAAATTTTTAGGAGGCGAGTATCGAAAGACAAAAAAAAAAATCTTATTCGGTTCTTCCCTACTTGTTCCCTTTAATAATAATAATAATAATAATAATAATTTGTCATTGTAGGTTCCAAACCCGGCATGTTAGATTTCATGATATGGCCGTGGTGCGAAAGAGCGGATATACTTAAAATCGTCGGCGGAGATTTGTACAAACTTCCAAAGGACAGATTTCCAAAAATTCTCGAATGGAGAGTCAACATGATTGCCGATGAAGGAGTCAGAGTGAGTTATTTGGATCCGGAAATCCATGCTAAATATTTCATGAGTAGACAAGCAGGAACTCCCGACTATGATCTTCTTCACAAAATGAAACATTAAAAAAAAAAAATGTTTTTTCTTTCTCTCTCTCACTCTCTCTCTCTCTCTATCTTTCTTTCTATTACGTCACAGAAGACATTCATTCATTCATCACTTAATTTTACATACTTCCTGTTTTTTTTAATTATTATTATTATTATTTGTTATAATCATCACGTTTTTTTTTTGGAACGTTGGCACCACTTTGAAATTATTATCTAGGACGTGTAATTTTGTTTTTTGAGTAATCTTATAAAACGTTTTATCGAGTAAATGGGAAAAAAAAAAAAAAAAAAAAGGTTTTGTTAACCTCACATAGGGGGCCATTTATATAAAAATCAATGACGTCACGTTCGTACACAAAAAGAAATTTTTATTTTTACAGTAGAATCGTTTATAGTTGTTACATTAATGATGATATTATTCATTCATTTCACTATATATTATAATAATATCATTTTTTTTTTTAATTTTTAAATGTTATATCGTAGAGAAGCTTTATTTTCCATTAGTTGTTTTTTTTTTTTTTTTTTTTTTTTTTTTTTTTTTTTAAAGGCAAAAAAAAAAATTGGAACCCTTTTTTTTTTTTTTTTTTTTTTTATTTTACAAAAGAAACCCCCCCCCCGGGGGGTTTAAAAAAAAAAAAAAAAAAAAATTTTTTTTTTTATTTTTTTATTTTTTTCTACTTAGTTTGTGTAATATTAATAATAATGATGATGATAAAAGTGAAAAATGATTTGTTGATGCTGCATAAGAGGAATTAATTGTTATTATTATTATTATTATTACAATTTTTTCTATTAGTTTTATTATTTTTTTTTTTTTTTTTACGTAGTGTGTTAATTTTGGTGAAGGGAGAAGAAGGGGGCTTTTTCTTTTCTTTTTGTTCTTTTTTGTTCTTTTTTTTTCTTTTTGTTCTTTTATATAAAAATGAAAAAAAAAAGGATTTATTATTATTATTATTATTAAGCACGCTTTATAGGTAATAAGAAAGTAGGTTTTTTTTTTTTTTTTTTTTTTTTTTGGGTAAAATTAAAATGAGTAGAAGAGATTATATTACGTGCATTTCACATTAAGGCATTCATTATTATTATTATTATTGTTATCGTCGTACTATTATTATTATTATTACTTCTACTATTATTATTACTATTATTAATTTTTTGTTTCTGTTTTTTTAATTTTTTTTCATATTAATAATTAATAAATAAATAAATAAAAATACACACTTTTTTGTATAAAAAAAAAATTTATTTATTTTTATTTAAAAAATAATTTTGTAACAATTAACAAATAATGATAATAATGGCGGTAACGTTAACGTTTTATTATTATTATTTCTTTTAATTAAACGTTATCAATAGGAAGTAGAAGAAGAAGAGAAAGAAGACAATTTTTTTGCGTCTTCATTTTTTCTTCTGCTTTTTGTTTCTTCTATGAATTCAATTTGTACGTGACGATATCCTTTATGTAATCTTTTAAATTATCCGGATAATTTTCGTAAACGTTTTCCTCCATTTTGAAAACGTTTTCAACGACATTATTTAATATTTCGTTATCGCACCTGTACAATATGTTTGCTATTAATTTTTGTCCTTCGAAATCATCTTTTTTACCATCGATTTTCACGTTTGGTAATTCTAAAACGATACTATGAGCCTTCTTTTCGATTTCTTTTAAAACATCCGAACCTTTGGAAGTCGTGTTTATCACTTTTAATAAGGTTTCGATGACGTAAAGAGGTACGGGATTTTTATTTAATAATTTATCCGGTAACGTTTTTATCCATTCGTCAACGACTTGTTTCCCATGACGTGCGTGAACGTACTCATCTGACGTCACGATCCCAATTAATATTTCAAATAAATTTTTTTTAAATTCTGAATTGTTTGTCGAATTGTGAAGACGAATCAGAGATTTGATCATTTCTTCATCGCATTTCGATGTTTTATGAGATTTTAAAATTATTTTTATCACTTTTGTCAATATTATATTTTCCGGTGGATTTTTCATTTTTAAACAATCTGAAATCGAATGGGTAATAATTTACTTTATAACCGATTCTTTTTTCTCTTTCGACACACACACACTTACCTAATATATATTTTTCTATTTTTGTTTCTATTTCATCTTTTTTGTTTTTGGTTTTGATGAAACAATGATACAAATATGATATTATTATGTTTTGATTCATGTACGATTTACTCTCTGGCGATTGATCAGATCCTTGTAAATAATTTGATTCCGATACTGATATTCTTGGCAAATATGGAAAATTAAGTAAAAATGATTTCATAAATGTTGTACCATATGTTGAAACAAACCAATATGTCTGAAAAAATTATAAATTTTCTTACATTCGATAAGATTTAAAAGTAAAAAGTCAAAAAAGGGATGTTTAACTCCTTACCAATTGTGTATCGTTTTGTTCTGTTGTTTTCTCATATAAAAGTAATATTATTTGTAATATGATGTATAATAATTGTGCAGAACTTTGAGTTAACAAACATTCCATTGTGAAATTATCTTTTTTTTCGCTCGGACCGAATTCAGTCCATGTATCAAACATTAATGGCATTATCCCCGAAACTAACGATTGATACTCATTGTAATGTTCTTCCAAAGATGTGAAATTATCAGTTTTAGATCTTTTAAAAAGAGATGATATATCTGGTATTGTTTTATACATTGTATTTAAGCTTTTTATATCGAATCTACGCTCTTGACTTTTAATTTCAATTATTTTATTCATGTTTTCATCCATTGTTTTGTGATTGTTGTAAACAGCATTTAACAATTCGTAAAATTTAGTTAATGATTCAATTTTCGATTTAACAATATCTTGTTTGAATTTTTTAGACGAAGCAATTTCAACATGCTGTCCAAATTTACTGCCAGATATTATTCTTAAAAAATTTTGAACTAATACAGGAAAATTTCTTTTCAATGCATCTGGTGCTTGTTCTATGACAATACCAATAAATTTAAGAGAATCCTGCTGTATTGATATTTCTCTGTGAGTCATGGCACAACTGATGTGAACATTTAATATGTCGTAAAATGGTATTATGTAATGAGTCGGTAACTGACTTAATATTTCATTTAATAAATTTATCGCTGTCTTTCTAACTTTATGCTCAATGTCTATAAGTAATTCTAATATTTTTAATATTGTATTCCTTAATGAAGGACCCCCAAGGATTTGAGGATTGTTTGTGATTAATTCTCTAATACCGTTTAAACTATTTAAACGAGTTGATGGATTATGATGGGTTAAACGAGAAAGCAAATCCTACAAAATAAAAAACATTTACCAACTTGTGAAAATTTACAACTTTACCAATTATTAAATTACATAAATAAATATTTTTTTAAAAAAAAAAAAAAAATTACAAATAAGTTAATATTTACTTTAAGGGTTAAATTCCAGGAAGTAACAGGTTCATTTTCATCAACTTTTTTCAATTGTTCAATGAGTACAATTTTTTTTGCTTTAAAACTCGTATCTGTTATATTTTGTCCCTTTGGTAAAAGTTTTTTTTTTTTCAATTGAACTTTTGCCCTTTCAGCCCTTAATTTTTTTAAATGTTTTCCACCCATCGTTAATTATTAAAAAAAAAAAAAAAAAAAAAAAAAAAATTCCTGATGTAAAAATAACCCAAATCCTCTTATACTTATCTATATTTTAAAATTCTCACGTGGAATAATCAGACGTAAAATCGTATTTAACAGTTTAGCCAACTTAAAACTTTTTTATTTTGGCGCGTTTAATTTTACACGTCTGAAAGGTCAAAAATTAAAAGGATTTAATTGAATTAATTATTAAATACATAAATAATAACATTTATTATAATTATTAATAGAAACGGTTGTGTTTTCCGATTCGAAAAATATCTCGTAAGAATAATAACGACATTTTACGTAAAATGTTTTTTAAGTTGCGTACCTGTTTGTGAGTCAAACGTGGAATTAGATGGATTAACACAGGAACTTGTTATTTTGTTTTTAATAGTCAGTAAGAGGACAAAGAAAAAGGATAGAATACATACTCGGGTGAATCAACAGGTGGAAGGAAGGGCTCGATCGGGACCATATGTATATATATTATTATTTTAATTCGTTATAGTTTTTTATTAAATATTATATTCGTTTTATTATTTATTTATTTATCGTACTTGTACAATTTTTTTTTATTATTGTTATTTGTGCGCGGTTTACAATAATGTTTTTTTTATCAAATGTTGTAATGTTTACTCAAGTGAATATTGTTAATGGTTATTCGTTTTTGAAATTTAAACTCGGTTACTTACATAGTAAATAATAATCGTAGTTTAAAAGAAAACTTAAATGTATTTCACGGTCGCCAAAAAATGTACTGGATTAAAAATGGTGCCTTTAACATATGGTACGAGGCACTTCGCACTGGTTTATTTTTAACAATATTTCCAACGGTAAGCTGACATTTTAATTTTTTTTTTTTTTCCTTCTTATTATTCATTTAACGGTACGTAAAAGTTTTTAATTAACTCATATTTAATGACATACCCCTGATAAATGTCTTTAAATAAAATGTCAGAGTGATTGTTGTTGCTTTTTAAACATAATCAAATATAAAAAGTAAATAAATAAATAAAATATTAATAATCTTCTGTTATATTGAATGGAATTAAAAATCATAACATTTGTTATGTAATTCAAAATTATTATTATTATTTTTTCTATCTCTCTCTCTCTCTGTCTTATTATTTTCTTAAATTAAATTTTTTAATTTCGGTTTTTAACATCATTCATGTTCATGTGTGTATATAACAATATTAATTTTTTATTTTTGACATTAATTACTCTATTGAAAATTTCATTATCATTTACATAATAATAATAATAATAATAATAAGTTACAAATAATTATTTTGTTATTTCTATCGAAAGTTATTATTATGAGTTTCATAAAATTTCAGTATTGCATTGCATATATATATATATATATATATATTCGAGTGTTAAATATAAAACGAATTGAAAAATTTTTATTAATAATCAATTGATAATTTTCTCTCTCTGTCTCTCTCTCTCTCTTTTGTATGATTAAAAAAAAATTTTTTTAATTTATATGAGAAAAAAAAAAATCAATAAAATAAAAATAATTAATTAAAATCTCATCAAAATTCAATAGACCATTAAATCGAAACATAAAAATAAAATTTTATTATTATTATTATTGTTGTCGAATTGATTGCTGTGGTAAATTGCGAAATATATATTGATTCTTCAAAACATAATAATTTCCTTGTTTGGCATTTGTTTGTTTGTTTGTTTGTAAACACAATGATTGTGTTCTATTTCAGAACATTTCATTTCCTCGTTTTATAAAAGTGTGAAACATTTTTTTTTACTGTTTTTATTTACATTAACACCCAATCGTGATCATAAAAATGTTTTTAGTTAGGTTTTGTAGGTACTCTGTCTATTTTCTCTCTCTCTCTCTCTCTGTGTGTGTGTGTGTGTGCTATTTTTCTCTCTTTCTCTCTCTGTGTGTGTCTGTTTTTCTTTCTCTCTCTCTGTGTGTGTTGTGTCTACCTTTCTCTCTCTCTCTCTCCCTCTGTGTGTTGTGTCTATCTTTCTCTCTCTCTCTCTCTCTCTGTATTTGTGTGTGTGTGTGTGTCTGTCTCAATTTTTCTCTATCTCTCTCTCTGTGTGTGTGTGTGTGTGTGTCTATTTTTCTCTCTTTCTCTCTCTGTGTGTGTCTGTTTTTCTTTCTCTCTCTCTGTGTGTGTTGTGTCTACCTTTCTCTCTCTCTCTCTCCCTCTGTGTGTTGTGTCTATCTTTCTCTCTCTCTCTCTCTCTCTCTGTATTTGTGTGTGTGTGTGTGTGTGTGTGTCTGTCTCAATTTTTCTCTATCTCTCTCTATCTCTCTCTGTGTGTATGTGTGTCTTTCTTTTTCCCTCTCTCTCTGTGTGTGTGAGGGTCTATCTTTCTCTCTCTCTCTCTCTCTCTGTGTGTGTGTGTGTCTGTCTTTCTTTTTCTCTGTTTCTCTCTGTGTTTGTGTGTGTGTGTTTGTGTGTGAGTGTGTGTGTCTGTCTTTCCTTTTCTCTATCTCTGTGTTTGTGTGTGTGTCTGTCGTCTTAATTTTTTTCTCTCTCTCTCTCTGTGTGTGTGTGTTTGTGTGTCTGTCTGTCTGTCTTAATTTCTGTCTCTCTCTCTCTCTCTCTTTCTCTCTATCTATCTACATTTTGATAAATCTAATGATACCAACAAATATCCATATATATAAAATAAATATCCTTGACGTGTCATTAATTACGATTCAATATTTCTACGATTATTGATTTTAAATTACAAAAAAAAAAAAAATTAGCAAAACATGGTTTAACATAAATAAAAAAAAATAGAGAGAGGTAGAGAGAGGGGGGGGGGAAGTTGAAGGAAAACAAGTTGTCACTCAAAACAAATTCGCCTAAAATAAAAATAAAAAAATTGATAATAATTATACGATTTCGATGTGTTATTATAAAAAAAAAAATTAACACATATAAAAATAATCGTTATTATCATCATCATCATCATCATCATCATTTTTTTTGTTTTGTTTTTTGTGTTGTGAATGAATGTTTGATGATTTGCCATATTTTTTTTTTTTTGACTATATTACTTATGGATTGTGGGGGCGGAATGGGGACGGGACGGGGCGGGACGGGTCGGTAATTAATTACGATGAAAAACTATTTTTAATTTCATTTTATTTATTTATTTATTTATTAACTTTGTAACAAAAAAAAAAAAAAGAAAATGGAATCACGGTCATTCATCTACTCGCTCGTACGTTACAAAAAAAAAAAAAAAAAAAAAAAAAAATTTTTACGCGTTTAAATATGCGCGCGTACAATGACGCGATCGTTCGCATTTCAAATACCAATACAAAATTATTATTATTATTATTATTATTATTATCATTATTAAATATGACCGGAAAAATGGAACGAACATTCCAAATAAACTTTCTACTACTACTACTACTATTACTATTTATTCGATTATCTTTGCTATTATCATTATCATTATTATTATTATGGATTTTGTTGATAAAACGATTTATAATAATAATAATGATGATGAGTGATACGATAGGGTAAATACAATTAAAAATTAACTCTTGTGTGGTGACCATAGGGTCGCGATATGTATGAAAGGATGTGTGAGTGGTAGATAGATAGACTCGTGTTGGTAGGTAGATAGGTAGGTAGGTAGGTAGGTAGGTTGGTAGGTACGCGTTCGAGAAATCCTTTGTTGTTATAATAATACCTTAAAATAAAAAATATTTAAAAAAAATTTCACTTTCTCTCTTTTTCGATCGACGTGAAAGTTGTCGAGAAAGAAAATTTTTTTTTTTTTTTTTTTGGAGAACGGACGATTTTTAAATTCTCTAATAATAATAATAATAATAATAATAATAATAATAATAATAATAATAATAATTGTTGTCGTCACGCGAATTTTAGAAACGATCGCGGATGTCCTGTTGCTGTTGCTGATGCTGATGTCGGTTGCGGGAATAATCGGTTGGTCAATTAATAAAAGAAAGAGAGGGGGAGAAGGGAGAGGAGAGAGGGTAGAGGTGACTAGAAAATTTCGTTTTTAGGTATTAGTCATGGCGGACGAAGAGGAGGGGGAAAAAAAATAAATAAAAACGTACATAAATTTTGTTTAAAAGGAGGCCATCATCGAGTAGAATATTAAAAAAAGTCGTTAAAAAAAAAAAAAATGGCAGCCGGTCGATGAGGTGCTACCCCCCATTTCATACCAAAAACAAATTCTTCGACTTGACTTGTTGTTGGAAAGGAAGGTTGTCAGAACAAGCAGAAGAAGGTCGTTGGGTTTTATAGGTTCATCCCATTTTCCTTTTGATTTTTCTTCTGCTTCTCCCTCTTTCCCCCCTTCTGTTCTCGTGTGAGAACAAATTTCATTTTCGTAAGAAGAATTCACTCACGGGAGTTTCGAGTGGTTGTTGTTGTTTGTAAAAATCCTTAACATTTAACAATAAATTCTCTAACCCGAGGGCAGAAAGTTCAATTCGTGGTGGTGGTAGTGGCGGTGGGGGGATAATAATCAAGATTTTATTATTCGTTTTTAATGGGAGACGTACTTTTTGTTCTTGTTGTGTTATCGAGAAGGATAAGAGTGAAGGGGAGTGAGGGGGAGGGGGAGGTGGAGGAGAGAGAAAGGAACGAAATCGATCGAAACTTGTTTGTTTGTTTGTTTGTTTTTATGTGTGTTGTACTCTTTCTTCATCTTCTTCTTGTTTTTTTTTTTCTAACGATGATGTGGTGATTAATTATCGACCTTGCGTCGTATAAATTCAATTTAATAACGTTTAATGTTTGTTGTTTGTTGTTTGGTTTTCCCCCCTTCTCGTCCCCACTCACTCACCCTCTCCCCCCGATGTTTGCATGTTTGTTGCATCGATTTCATCGCATTTAAAAAAATAAATTGTAATTATAATAATAACTTCATTGCAATTTACCCTCGTGTTTGTTGTTGTTGTTGTTTGGGATTTTTGTGTTTAGCGTAATTTTCTCTCTCTCTCTTTCTCTTTCTCTCTTATT